ATTCTGTGTTGTTGTTGGCGGAGCTCTCTGCTATACGTCCACCCGATCCGCCATCTTGTTTGTTCTCTCATTAACTTTTAAGACCCCAGTTGCTATTCATCAAAATAGGATGTAGAAAATTGTCTTTATGGATTATGCTATACAAATTGACCATGGTGTCCCTCCACAGGATTTTCAATGACTGGATTTTCAGAAGATTACCAAGCCTTTTTTCCAAGGGCCTCCGAAGTGATTCACACGTCCAACTTTTCAGTTAGCAGCCAAGTGTGTTAATCTTTGCACAACCCAAGGATTTCTATAATTCAAAAAACTGCTAGATATCACATCACAACGGTGGTCAATGTCAAAAGTACTCTACATAAAGAATTGTCTTTAATGCAAGATGTCCAAAAATAATTAATGTACAAGTTTCTGATGCTATGTTGCCAACTACCCACCAAGCTCCCATCTGGTCCTGTGTGACCCCTATGTTGTTGTTAAGTGCAGTCGACTTGGTTCCGACTCACAGCAACCCTGTATAGGGTTTCCAAGGAGCAACTAGTGGGTTTGAACTGCTGACTTTGTGGTTTGCAGTCCAGTGCTGATCATACAGCGCTACAGCAGGCATCTGTGTGACACTCCCTCCCCCCATAGTCTTTCTCTTTTAATTCTTGGTCTCCCTGTCCCCATCCTTGTTTGTCCACTATGCCTCCCTGTGCTGAACAGAATTTATGGACCATTTTGGGAGAACAGAGCAGACCCCAACTCATCTAATAGGTATCAGATTGGAAACAACACCTGATTGGAACTTAGACTTTTCCCTGGCCCAGCTGCTACTTCCTCATACAGCTAACAGACGTTATCAGGGCCAAACTCACAAACCATTAGGAAATGTGGGAAGTTCCCTTCTTGTGCATAGTCTGTGTCCATTTTCCCTTCCAGCCTCAATCCTTCCTTCACAGGACCCATTCTAACCACTCTACCATTAAAAACTGTTTTGAGAAAAGGGTTAGAAGCTTAAGTGTGCTTTACAGACCTTTAAGAAAGCAACATGTAAACTAAAAGGAAGAAACCTCGTATTGTGTGCTCTTAGGCATCAGAGAGTAGCCAGAAAGGTGATGTGGGCTGGAGGTGGCCTCCAAAAGCAGCTCATGACCCATCCTGGTCTTAGAGTTTCGCAGGGGGGGGGGGGGGGGGGGGGGGGTGTCTTCCCAGAGGAATCACAAGTGCCCGGAAGGAGGGCGTCTAGTGATGTCCCCGCCCCCTGCCAGCTTCCTTGGCCTCCCCTCCTTTGTGGTAGGCCCGAGTCGCTAAGCAGATGCTTGGCCCTGGGCAGCTCTGAGAGGTCCACTCGGGGCTTCCCAGCCGCAACTTGCAGCCCGCGGGCCGCAGAGGGCTCCGAGGAAAGTCCCCGGAGGCGGGGTGCACGTCGGAGGCGGGGTGCGCGTCGAGGCGGGCCCGCGGGCGCCGGGCGGGGCCGGGCGGGGCCGGCCTGGTGAGTGCGGGCTGCTCTGCGGCTGCCATCGCCTCTGGCTCTCCGCCGCCGGCGCCGCCAGGGACGAGGCAAGCCCACGCCCGCGCGCTCGCCATGGCCGCTGAGGCGGCTCCGTGGATCCCGCGCGGGTCCTGGGCCGGGCCTTGAGCCGCCACCTCGCTGAGCGTCCCGGGGCCATGCGGCCACCACCGCCACTGCTGCTCCTGCCGCTGCTGCTGCTCGGCGGTTGTGCGGAGCCCCTGCCAGGTAAGCCGACCAACGCCTGGCAAGCCGACCGAGGCATCGCTGCAGTGGGTGGGGGTCGCGGAAGCAGTTGAGGACGGATGGCAGGGAACTCCACGTAGTTCTGGGCGAGGAGCCGCGGGAGAGCCGCCGCCTGCCCGGGTGTCCTGACCTCTGGGACACCCCTCCCAGGAAGGGGACGCGCGCACACACAGCCCCTTCAAGGAGCCCTACGCCCTTCTGTACCTCTCCGCCACTTCCACTTGCCTGTGCCCTGAAACTGAGTCTCCGAAAGTTCTCAAAATGACGGAAAACCTGAAGTCTGGACTAACAGAGTGGTCGAACGCAGATTTCTTATCCAGGCTTGTCTGAGCTTGGTTTCTGCCCGGCATGCCCCTCCCAATGGCTTGAGGTAGAAATCGGACCCAGTCTTTCCTTCCTGGCAGCCATTCGCTTGCGCCCTGGAATTGGAATGTGTTTGGTTCCGGTGTGAAATCTGGATGAGAAGATTAGTTCTCTGGGGTCTGATGGGAGGGGAGGGACACTGAGAGCAGGACCTGGAAATGTCTGGGTTCCCCAGTTGTGGGGGGGAAGGTGACTGCTATGACCAGGTTTATAATTTCAGTTCTAATCTAATCTCCATCTAGAGCCATTGTTTACGTGGGCTGGACGCTGGTTCTCACCTCTAACAGAGCATACCTATAAGTAAAACATAAAAACTAAAAAGTAAAAAAAAAGAGGGGTGCTCAATGACAAATATCAGAGTAGAACATTCTGCATATATGAAAGCCTTTGCCCTTTGTTCTGTTTTTATTGTTTTATTTACCCACGGAGACACTGATGTCATAGTCTTAAGAATTTGGAAATGTATGTACATTCCCCCCCCAAAAAAAAAAAAAAAAATACTAGAGGGAATGGAAGCAAATACTGTTGAATGACGATGATGCACGGAGATTGTAATCATTGCAATGAAACAATGGTATAATAAAGCCAATGTTGTCCCATGTACACTATCAGTCAGTTCACAATAAAAACTTGTTTTAAAAAGCTTAAGATTCGAAAATACTGCTCATTGTGAATGTAGCAAGGGTGTAGTGACTGTTCATTCATCTTGGAAATCCAGGTATGCATATAATAAAAATCATTTTTACAACATAAAAAAATAATAATTTGGAAGTTTCTTCGTGTTTTAAATCCTAAGACGTCTGAGGTTTGTGTTTTCTAAGAGTATCCATTGCAAAGGCCCTTAGATTTCCAGGAGTTAAAAAAATCTCCATGATATGTGGAGTCCTGGTGTGGCACTGTAGGATAAGCACTGAACTGCTAACTGCAAGGTCAGCAGTTCAAACCCACCATCTGCTCCTTGGAAACCCTGTACAGGGTGGCTGTGAGCCAGAATTGATTTGATGGCACTTAAAAATAACAGCATGATAAAAGGAACCTTGTATATGAAGATTTTGCTCCTATTTAAATGGTTAACTGTTTCTGGGTAGCAGTCAGATGAATGTGTTTAAATCCAGACTTTCCACCTCCCCAACTTCAAATCTGGAACAACCAATTTCTGCCCCTTCTCTGAGCCTTCGCCATGAGATTGACAGTTGTTAGTGGTAGTGGTGTTAAGTGTCCTCAAGTTGGTTCTGACTCATAGTGACCTTATGCATAACGGAATGAAACACTGCCCTGTCCTAACCCCATTCTCACAATCTTGTTAAGATACAACCCATTGCTGCTGCCACTGTGCCAGGCCATCTTGT